GGTCGAGGTCACTTGAAGGTCAAGGTAACCAAGGTCAAATATGCGTTTTTGGTCATAACTCCGCGAAGGATCGAGCTCGAGCAACGGGAGTGTCTCAAAATCTCAGAAAAATTATTATCTATTTATAATTCTATGCATTTGTATAGTCAAATATTAATAGTTTTCAAGATAATCACTAATTATAACAGTTCCTTTCTCTCTGCCGTTAAAATTGTAATTGGAACGAAAATAATTTCCATTTCTTGTTTTTCTGGTGATACACAACACACTGATCTACAGTCACACAACTAACATATACACAACTCATGAAAAATGACATTTTGGTTACGCACTAGTAAACACAGACATTCTCATGTGTGACCCATATCACACAAGTGTTCATGGGCCTGTGCAGATACACACATTGCATTGTGGATATAACGATCATGTAATATGGGCTGGGCTCCTCATAAACTGCTTCTGTGGTGATGAACTGACCCACCGACGCCTCATGGGGACCAGGTTTCTCTCTCTGACTGCGCTTGTTTATTTTTTGCAATGGCAAGTCTTCAAACTCTTAGGTGTTCTTTGCAAAGTTCATTTTTCAAAGCAGGACAGCTATTTTAGAAAGCTTTACTTTGCACAACATCTACAGTATATGCCCCCCCCCCATCTACTCCCATGATGATTAGACTAATAAAAATAAATAATATCACCTTCATTTTGTTAGATTAATGTCTAAACTACCAGAAAAGTGTGTCCATGTGTGTAAAATGTCTCTGCATTTTGTAAGGATTTTTATATACTTTTGTTCAACTTTTTTTTCAGCTTTATGATACATATTTATCACAGGTACTATCCCACCAGACCAAGTCGTACTTACAAAAACCTGTCATATGTACTGTGTTCAAGTATATAAAGGTATGTACTTTGACAGAGCAGACCCGTGTATACTGCTACTGTCACTTAGTACTGTGGATGTGGTTGACAGTATTAGTGGGAAAAAGGAGTTGTTTAGCCTGCAGCATTCTGAGCCCCTTTGAGAACTCCCCATGTGCAGACAGAGGGACTGGTTCAGATCTGTGTACCTGTGTGTATCTGTGTGTACCTGTACTCTGCGTGTATAGAGTCACTACACTGAACCTGTGGAGCATGACTTTTGTGTTACCCACAAAAGGATAGAGATGTCATTATAACGTCATGCAGCACGTTTCTGTCTCCTCAAATCACACAGACTGTATGGACAGGACCTGTATATAGAGCAGTGTTTCCCAAAGACTGGGTGTCAAGTCTGTCAGGTGGGTCACAAAACTATATATCTCAGATAAATTACACAAAAGGCAAACTTTCCAAAGCCATTGCTGTGCTGCATAAAGTCAAGTTCTCACTAAATAGTGCAGCATAATTAACTTTGTATAACTCTATAATTGCACCATATCTGATGGACTATGTGGACATTTGGGGGTCAACATGTAAAACTTGCCTACAGCCATTATTTATTTTACAGATAATTTTAAGAATTATCACCAACAGTCATTGTAGAAAGCCATCCAACCATTATTTGTTCAACTTAAAGTGTTGAAAATGCATGATGTTGTTGAATTAAGTCTCCTCAAAGTCATGTATAAAGCAAAGTGCAGTGTATTACCTGTAAATATTCAAAGTTTTTTTTTAAGATGAGAACAAGCCACTACAATTTAAAAGGAACCTACATGTTTAAAAAAACAAATGCAATATGTATGAAAAAGAAAACTAAGTTGTCGCCCATTGTCAGAATAATTTTATTATCCCATATTTGCTAAATACTTGTGTGATATTCTAGGCCTATGAGTTAACCATTTATGTACTACAATTCTTTGATTTATAATGTACCAATCACTTGTATGAAAATGAATAACCTCTGTGTGTTTGACAACTGTGTGCAGTGTCCTGTCGCTCTAGTGAACCTCGAGATGATTCCTCACATGAAGCCAACTCCCACTGTCACACATGCAAGAGTTATGATGGTGTCTGACCTAAGGCACCTCCTGTTTGTACTATGCATAGCTTCATCAGTTTCTTATTATGTCTTGGCTGTTTCCCCTTCCCCTTGAGAATTATCATTCTGTAACTAGGGCCTCCTACTGAAATAAAAAGAGGAGAGCGGCCTTGAGTCATCAGAACGTGTGGAGACTGTTGGTTTTGATGCCCACTCTCTGCCCGTTCTCCTCGCGAGTAAAACTGAATTAATCTCTTGTCTTTCTTCTTGTTTACAATGTTTAGATAAACCTAACACCCATAATAGTGAAGATTTCTATTACTCGTTATTAAGATCTGCAGCGATCCATTGCAGTTGCTGGCTCTTTGTTGTAATAACATTTACGACAACATCAGCTCCTACTGGGCACCTCTTTTTTTTTTTTTTTTTTTTTTTTTTACAAATATTGGAATTTAAAATGTGCAAATTATAAATGACTGTAAGCGGGGTTGCCTCCCCACACGTTACTTGTAACTTGGTCTGGTTTGGACTCCATGAAGATAGAAAGGTTTAATTCCATTCCAGACTAAGCAAGAACATCTCCATGGAGAAAAGCATGATGATGATGATGGAGCCTCCACCAGAAAAGTAACTCAATGCACTTTTAACATATGCCAGAGTGTCCTAAAATAATCCTACACCAGCTCCAGCATCCAAAACATACATTTACAACCAGGTCTTCAGCCTCATTCATACATTTCTCCATTGGTATTCTTCGAGATCTCCAGTTTTGCTTTCATCATATTCCTTCAAATATCTTCATTATTTCTCTTTTGTACATGTCCATATCATGTCAATCTCGACGTGACTTCATCTCCATAGTATCTAACGTGAGATGGTCCACTTGGTGTCGGCGGCAAGGTGGGGCATTTGAGGGCCGTGCCTGCCCTAGCGGCCACTGGTGCCCCACCCCCCAGCACAGGCCGTTATTATTACTATTTTAAAATAACTAAAAAACTTTACTGTGACATCAATGACATCATAGTCTGTTTATTTAGTGTGGTGTGATTGGACAACTGTCCTGTCACTCACGTCACGTCAACCTGCTGCGTCAACTCGTAACAGCTTCATGATTAGCTGCTACTTTAGTCTAAAGCTCCACACAGGAAATGGCGAGGACAGAGCCAAAGACACACTGACAGATCCGCCGCCGGGACCCGGGACTGTCGCTACCGCTGCTGGGGCCGGGACATTTTTTGCCGGGACCCAGGACAGTCGCCGCCCGGACTCAGGACAGCCGCCGCCGGGGCCAGGGCAGTCGCTCGCTGCTCTACCCGCCTTTGCCCGCTCGTTTCTGGGTGTAAAAGTTTGACCTGAGAATAGCGCAGAGGCATAATTCTACCTGGTGTCCTGGTGCTGATATGGACTGACCGTAACTTTCAGAGTTCAGTGGGAAGTGGGATTAAGACTAATTTTACAACTGCTCATGCACTCGGCTCTTGGACCTCGCGTCACGGACCAGACTGGACCAGGATTTGGACCAGTTTCATCTCTTCATATTGGACAATAGACTTTTGGAGACAGAACCAATGGGACAGCGGACAGAGGAAACATTCTGCTTCAGTCTCTGGAGAAGGTAAGAGGCTGGTTTTCATTAGTTTGCGGCAAATCTGAAGATGAAGCCTCACAGGTAAACAGTGTTATAGTGTTAATAGTTAAATAGTGTTATAGTGTTAATAGTTAATAGTGCGTAAATGAGCTGGTGGGTGCGATGGAGCTGCTCTGGTTGTTCTGTCGTGTGCTGTAGGAGCGGCATCTGTGTTCATGTTGTGATCGTAGCCTCTTATTGTAGTTTTACTGACGTTGTTGGGTCTGGGTGTGAGCGGCGTGTTACGTTGTGTTGTTGCGTGAAGTTTGCGCTTGGCTGTTCATTGTGCTCTGATCGATACTGTTCAGCCAATAGTAACCAAAATGTCTATTTCTGTTATTTGTTATAATACTATAGACTATATAATACATATATTATTCATAATATATATTTATAATTTTGGCCTTGGTGCCCTTCCCAAAAATTATACCACCAGCTTCCACTGGTCCTGTTTTAGTCCTGGTTTAGTCCCGGTCCCTCAAGTCTCAGGTCTCTATAGGACAGGACTGGACGGCGTTACCCTCGTGTACCACACCCACTACAGCCCTGGTGCTGTCCGACGCGTGGCTATTTCTTGCCCGATTGCTTCTTTCAGCTGATGTTGTTCAGGGGTGTTTTTGACGAGGCTGTTGTTTAATGTTTACAACCAGTGGCAGGTCTTATTGTTTTTTAATAAACCTCAACCTTTTATTTTTGTCTTGTGTGTGTATCGTCTACCACACATCCTCAACAACTATTGCAGCTAATAATAATAATTTTAATAAAATAATGATAAAAATAACAACAACACATAATTAGCCTAATACTGTTAAAGAAAAACGTGTTTGATAGTTGATTTCTGCTTTGTATGACTCCACCGTATTAAAATATTTCTCAAATGGCAGTGCCCCCCCTGCTGGTGACCCACGCCCCTCCAGTAGATGTGCTCTGACGCCGACTCTGGGTCCACTGTGATGCTTCCTCCACCAGTATTGTATGTATTGTGTTGCCCTTTTCATTCTTTTATATCTGTTTTTTATTGGTGTTCTCTATCTTTGGTGTTAGGCAGAGTACCCTCCATCTGTTCTGGAACATCCGAGGTGTTTCCAATTTCAGATACCAATTATTTGATCTCTTATCTTTGTAAAGGCCAGCAAAATTCTTCTATAACATGTAATAATGTGGATAAAAACATGGAGTCTCTCTTATTATAGTATATTGTGATATGAAGGATAGGACAAATACTCATTCAGGACCAATAAGCCATACTTCAACTTTACAAGTATTTCTCATATTCTGTAAAATCACATATCTCCACCAAACAAACTAAACTAAACAGCAAGAAATAACTGTTGCATATGAAAGTTTTCCAGTGTTTTAAAAAGGAGCTGTAGCTGATTTTTACGGTCTTAAAAACGTAAAAAACAGAACAAATGATCCACAGTGATGAGTTTATTTAGAGCTTTTCCCAACTTTTAGAGACCAGAGCACAGTTTTGCCATCACAGTAAAACAAGAACTAGCATCCTATCCACGCACTTCCTGATTCTCAACCAATATAATTTTATTATTTATTACTTTATTATTAGCTGCAGACAGCACACAGCGAACCACTCAACTTGGTCCTCCAGCATTAACAGCAAGAGCCATGCAAGATGGACAAGCCCTGTATTGTGGTCTATACTGACCAGTCTACCGACCGCCGATGACCATTACTTTTCAAGGTGCATTGTGGGAAATTTTGAGTGTGTTACTTTTTACTTTTTCATTCACTGGGCATTCGGACACATCTAGGAGGTTAGCAGGTCAGCTATGTTTGGAGGTGGGACCAAGTCAGTGCTTTGTAAGTTTCAAGTCTCAAGTAAGTCTTAAGTCACTCCAAGTTGAGTCCCAAGTCTCTGCTAACAGAAAAAAAAAAAATTGTATTTGTGCTGCTTTTTCCTTTTGAAATGCTTTCACAAGACCTTAATGCAGGTGTATCAAACTCAAATTCACAGAAGGCCAAAATAAAAACTAGGACAAAGTCGTGGGCCAAACTAAATATCTATTGAAACATTTCAACATCTGCATGTTTTCTCTTTCTATGTAATGTTAAACCTTTTCTTATTAAAATAAATGTTTAATAATAGTTTTGCTTAAACACTGAATCCAGAACAAGCATAATATGAAATAATAACAACATTTTAAATAAATATCTGTAATTGTAAATCTGTAAAATCTGTAATCTGTAGCTGGTGGATCAGCTCTAATACGTATTTGATATGATATGGCCAAATTTGGCCCCTGGGCCTGAATTTGACATGTCTGCCTTAATGTGAATCATTACTGTCAGAATCCACGCAATTCAGATTTAAAAGAGCTTAATAACAGTTATTTCTTCATGCTGTCTGCACTGAAACGGAGTAAAGGATCATGGTCTATGTAGTTCCCTCTACTCAACAGCAGAGTATCAGTTACTGTTACATCCATAGTGACAAATATTATAAAGTGGGAAGGACACATTGCAGTTTATTCCTGTAAAAGTAACCACTCATAGTATCAACTGTACAGAAAAATGTGTTCCCTAAAATCTGACCTGAATCATCTCATGTCACAGAGCTCAAGTTCAAGTCGAGTCCCAAGTCAAGTCTCAAACTAGTGACTCAAGTCGGACTCTAGTCCAAGTCACGACTTGCAAGTCCCTCCTTCCCAAAATCGATCATTTGCTTCAGCGCTGTCAGAATGAGCTTTTCCATCTCCTCGTCTGCACAGATCTCACAGTGATAGTTCTTCACTGGGAAGATGTAGTCGAGAGGAATGTCCAGGGAAGAGCTCAGTGTCTCCATCTACAAAAAAAAAAAGGATCAATGACATGAACTCATACTGCCACAAACTGTTAGACAACAGGACAAAGGCTTTTTGCCAAATCGTTATTAATTAATTAATTATTATTATTATTTTTATTTATTTATTTATTTTTTTCACTTTTAAGTTGCTGCTCTTGGCGTTTGAAGCTCTACAAGAACTTTGGTGCACGTTTATTTCATATTTTCATTTAACAACAGGTTAATACCACATCTTTGACAACTTTGCTTCTATAGACATTCTTTATGTCGGCCTGGACATCAGGGCAGGCTTCATCAATCTTTGTCAGAATGGCCATCTGTGGAATCCCTGTGGAGAACATGAGATGGTTGAGTTTAAGACAGAAGACCAGTATCAGCTCATAATACAGTGAAATACCAAACTCTTGAGCTGCCAGTCGCAGTTCTCTCATCTTCTCCAGGAGCTCCTCGCTCAGGATGGGGAGTGTACCAGCTGAGACCACACACACCAACACATGTGTGTGTTCCTTTAAGGTGGGGCTGTTGTTGTAGTGTGGATCTGTACTTTTAAAGGGGGAGTGTGGATTAAACTGAAATGAAAACACAGAATCATTTATATATTTTCAACAGACAGTTAATCGTGATGTTTTTCTGAAGCTTACCACATAACCATCTTTCATGTGTCCCTTCATGGCCAGTTTGATGTCATCCACACAGATACCTCTGCTCTGACCCTTCTCCAGGCCCATGGTGTCTTTGAAGACAAACGGATAGAAGCTCTCTGGTTTTCCTTGTTGTATTTTGTATGTTTGATACTGTCAAAATAATGGTCAGATCAGTTCTGTTACTGGCAGAGACACGGATCGGTTGTTCTTATACCTTTGTAGTTAAGTTGTCAGAATCACCCCCAGCCAAGGCCTGTCCAGTCATTCTGCCTCTTAAAGCCGTCTCCACTGAGTTGATGAACGTGGATTTTCCAGCGTTACTTGGTCCACACAGCAGGATCCTGATGTGCTCTACGTCTGTTTGATAAGGCTGAAAATCACCCATGTACTTCAGGTAATCATCCTTCCCCCTGGTAAAAAAACACACATATGTTCAAATGTGAAGTTAGAAAAGAAATGCTAAAATACATGTGCTTTTACAGTGGTGGAAACTTCCTCCAGTCGTCATGGAAAACTGAGGGGACAGAAAATATCAGTTTCTTAAATTGTAAATGATCATTATCAGAACTTTTTAAAACTTACGCTTTGAAGAAGGGGGCTCTGAAAAAATATAATATAAGTGTTTTAGAAACAAAGATATTCAACAACAATCAACAAACTAGCTTAAAAAAAAAAAAAAAAAAAAAAAAAAAAAAAAAGCCATATTTTGCAAACACTATTGTTAAAGATTGGCAAACTGTACAGTAGTTACCCAAGATAACAGCTTTTAACAGATGAAGCTACAAACTCACCAACAGTAATGCGTAGTAAAAATAAAACTAGTCACTGTAAAATACCATAGACTTGAATACGGTAGCAGCAGTTCTTTCATTTTACTGTCAGTTTACCATAAATATAGGGAACAGGCTGCAGCTCTTTACCATAATCATACTGACGCTTTATCTTAAAGCCCCAGTGCAGTTGGTTCAGTACTGTTAATTACTATGAATTATTTTGTAAACATTTATAGTTCATGCATATAAAAGAAAGATTTCTGTACCTCGCTCATGCTGTTGTTGCCACATCCTGCACTAATGTCTCTGTGTGTGTGTGTGTGTGTGTGTTTGGTTTCATGCAGTTTTACTTTCGTTTGGAGCTTCCTGGTTTCATGAGAAACCTCTGCAGGAGTGTGTGTTAATATGACAGACAGTGCTGAGAAACACACAAATACTACACAACATGTGACACAATCACCACAGGCTTTTATTCTGAGCCTCCACTGATCGCATTTAAAGCAACAGAAGACTGAAGACAATGAAGAGTTTGAATTTTTTTTTATCCAGTGTTAAAAATGAAAACAACAGTAACATTGTCATTTTTCATCATCATCATCTTCAAAAAACGATTCAATCTTTTACTGACTTATCATATTTTATATTCAGATCCTCAGCATGTCCACCCTTTGCTTTGTTGACATGCTGCAAACCCTCGGCTTTCTCTCAATGAGCTTCATGATGAAATCTCTTGAAATGCTCTGCCGCGCCAGGGTCAAGAAATGCCAAAAGTGCAAAGCAGGGTTCAAAGCAAAGGGTAAAGAAAGTTTCATTTAAAAATCTAAAATATGTTTTGAGTTATTTTGAGTTAATTTTTTTGCTCACTGCATTCCACATGTGTCATAATTGTAATAGCTTTAGAGGTTTAAGAGGAATAAAGCAGAACTGAGCCAATTTTCCAGTGCAGACCCAAAGTGCATTTTATTTCAAGAGAGAGAAAAAGAGAAAGAGACAGACAGAGACAGACAGACATTATTTTTAGGCTGTTTGGTTGTTGTTAGGTTGTGGGTTATATTAGGAGTTGGGTGTAGGCGTAAGCGTGGGCGGGGCAAGGTGTGGCAGCCAAGGTGTGGCATAGGCCAAACATTGCCGCTTGTGACTTCTTTTTACACTCATGCACTACTCTGAAAATTAAAGGACTCATACTACAATATTTTCTGATCATAAACATACCTGTATTTGTGTCTTGTTTCATTCACACATTTTTGACACACAATCCCTGCATATTTGGATTATTTTCTCAAACAGAAAACACTGATGGTAAATGGTCACATTTTTCTACAGCACTTTTCCACCTTCAAGGCACTCAAAGCGCTTTACAACAAGGAACCACTCACCCATTCACACACACATTCACACACCAGTGTACGCAGACACTGTGGGCAAGGTGGGTTAAGTGTCTTGCCCAAGGACACAACGACAGCATTCATCTGTGGGAGCTGGAATCCCACCAGCCAACCTGTGGGTCAGTGGATCTGACCGCTCAACCTGTGATGTTTTTTTTTTTATGTCGAGAGCTGGATTCGAGCCACCAACCTGATCTCATGTGGTAATACAGGAAGTGCTCCACTGTGTTTTTAAACTCCTTATATCTAGTCATTTGGATAATGTCAATCCTGGAATTACCAATTTGTACTGAACAAAAGGTAGCTGTTAACTTGAGAACTATGAGCCAGGCTGGTGCAACCTAGTGCCTCCGCTCAATTTCATTTCTCTCCAGTGACTAGGTCAGGAATCAGAATACAGTAGACAGTTTGTAAGAACCCCGGAAGTTGTGGACTGCGTAATCAGTGAAGAGCTATGTGGTACAGTACAACAGTAAACAAAGCAGTCAAGATAGATGTAGACGAATAGCCTGATTTATCAGCCGGTTTCACTTCATAGAATCCATCTGACCAGCGTGAGAATTCGTTTGCTCGTCGGGCTAACTGGTATATTAAGCTTTTCCCAAATCCCATAGGAAGAAGGGCAATAACGTCTTTTCCCTTGATAAAATTCACAGAACATTCCCTCTGTTCCGGCTTTAAATCCTCGATCTCGGGAATCGTTTGTCAACACAGAATGTATGGCTCTTCGCTGATTGGCTGGTGCCCAAACTCACACTTCTGTTCTTTTTGCGAACCATCTAGTGTATTCCCGATTCCTGACCAAGTCGCTGGAGAGAAATGAAACTGAATGGAGGCACTAGGTGGCGCCAGCCTGGCCAGTAGACGAAGCCATACATTCTCTGTTGGCAGCAATCGAGATCGAGGGTTTAAATTCAGAACAAAGAGAAGGTGAATTTTATGAAGGGGAAAGACGTTATTGTCCTTCTTCCTACAGGATTTGGGAAAAGCTTAATATACCAGTTAACCCCGTTAGCGGCGCATTACATATGTCACAACCAAATAGCAGCGAGGAGTGGTTAAATAAAAAAAGTGTCAGCCTACCGTCGTGCGAACGAATCCTAATGCTGCGAGGTCAGCCGGTTTCCATGAAGTGAAACCGGCTGATGAATCAGGCGAGAAAACTACCACTTCATGACAACATGTGTGAATGAAACAAAACACAACTTGTTTTTGAGGAGGTAACAACATTCTAACAAGGCTTAAAACTCACAAGAGTCGATTTTGCTTAATGTAGGAGCTTTAGGAGAAAGATTATGTAAGGTAATAAAAACACAAGCAAACATCTTAAGATAAATCGAGCCAATATTGCATCCATCCAGTGTAAGACATCATTACAATCCCTCATTACATCACGCGTGCTTTTATGTTGACCCTTTTCATTGAGACTTTGCAGTGTGTGAGTGATGACAGTTGAAGCAGAAGCATTCATTGATTTCTGTGTAAGTGCTTTTCTGTCACCGCTTAATTATTAATGGTGTGTGTGTGTAAGCACTGACGACCACTGAGGGAATTCATGTTCAAACGCACGAAGAGATGAATATTGCATTGACCTTCTGACTACTGTCTCTTAAATGTGTTTTCATTGTAAATGTTGCACAGAAACGGAATACAGAAACAGAAAAACTTCTATGGCGACTAAGCGAGATCAATTAAATGAACTTGAGCAAACGGTCTGTAATATGAGCACTACAAAGTGTATAAAGAAGTGAACTAAGGCTTCGTTCAGACTGTAGGGCTTAATGCTCAATTCCGATTTTTTTGTGAATCCAATTTTTTTTTGCGAGGTCGTTCACATTTCCAATTAAATGCGACTTATATGTGATCTCCAGTTTGAACTTTAAACGCCTAAATGTGTCCCACATGTGCACTGGAGGACACAACGATATCACACGCAGCGTGACACGTGTTTTCGGAAGTCACCTAAACATGGACGCAGCATTGAGCACATGGAGATTTTAAAGTTGCTGTTGTACCGGAGCCAGAGCATGTACAGCTTATTTGTTTTAAGGACATTGAGAAGTAGCCTGATTCATCAGCCAGTTTCACTTCCTGGAAACCGTTTGACCTCACAGCATAAGAATTCGTTCACTCGATGGTAGGCGGGTACTTTTTTTCATTTAACCAATCGCTGTTATTTGGTTGTGATGTATGTAATGCGACACTAACGGGGCTAACTGGTATATTAAGCTTTTCCCAAATCCCATAGGAAGAAGGACAATAATGTCTTTCCTCTTGATAAAATTCACAAAACATTCTCTTTGTTCTGGCTTTAAATCCTTGATCTTGGGAATCGTTGCCAACTAAGAATATATGGCTCTTCGCTGATTGGCTGGTGCCCAGATTTGCACTTCTGGGGTTCTTGCAAACTGTGTAGTGTATTCTGATTCCTGACCTAGTCGCTGGAGAGAAATGAAATTGAGCGGAAGCACTAGGTGGCACCTGGTTAACCCTCTCCAGGCAGGCGTTGCAGATTTGCAACAGCTAAATTCCAATTACCTACTTACTCCACATCCATATTTTATGAGCTTTTTTTACTCAGGAGCCTTTTCTCCCATCCATGCTGATAAACGTGGACGATGCAGACTGTGCAAGAATGACTACACGCAAACGGCCTGCCAGAAGTGCAAAATACTTTTTTTTGTTTACAAAGGATAAAAAAGTCAGGATTGTATATTACTACCCCATATTATAATTTTCCCCAAATATCAGATTTTTCCTGATACTAAAAATGTATTTGAGCCTGAGAGGGTTAATTGAGAAGAAGAAGGACAAAGTTTTTGGTCATGGCGTTTCGTGGAGCTGTGGCAGCAACGACCGTAGAAAGGAACGTGTGGGTGCAGAGTCGCAACCAAGAGCGGTGGGATTGATCTGAGTTCATACACAATTTTCATATAACAATAAGAATGTTTATGTACATTTGTGACGTGTCGGTGGGATGAATATGACCTGGCCTTTCAGATTGAAGTCGGATGTCAGAAGATCAGATATGTATCGGTTTTAGGAGCACATATCCAAGTGTCCTGGGTCACATTTGAAAAAAATCGGATCTGTGTTGTTCAGACTGTCATTAAAAGATCAGATACAGGTCACATAGGGGCGAAAAAATCAGATTTGGGTCATTTCAGGCTGCAGTCTGAACGTAGCCTAAGTCAGAGTGACTCCAGTCAAGTGAAGCTTATTGAGGATTACACTTATGGGGCGAATTTGGAGCCGAGTTCCTTAATTGGAATTCCGACAGTGAATATCATAGCAACCAAACAGGCAATCCGGAGTGAAGCTGTTAAAGGTAATGCCACTTCCCACCCACAACACTGGTTTAGCCTGGAGCGGGCACTTAGCAACGCTGTCAATCAAACCTGTTGCTTGCAGTGGGAGCAACCTCGGAGAGATAAACCACCCGAATTGTCTGTTATTAATCTGCTATTTACGAATAAAATAGCAAAAAAAATTAAAAAAACAGGATCATGTAGAGTGGGTTAATACAAACATTTTAAGACCAAAACGACGAGGCTCACAGCAGCATTTGGAAAGCGAATTGGAACCGAGTTGATGGAGCCAGAGGCGCGCCCATTCTCACTTCCTGTGTCGTTTTGTAAATGCCGTAATCGCCCCAAAACAG